TTTTTTTTTTTTTTTTCCTCCCTTTCCCCTCCTTCCCCTCCTCCTTTACAACCCAGCGTTGCCACCAGCAGCAGCAGCAGCAATCTGTCTGGGGCTAATTGAGCAAACAACAAGGAGATGCTTTCACATGGCTTTTAAAGGAATGCTCCGGCATCCCCTTTCTGTAAGCAGCTTGGCAGGAACCTGCCAGGAAGGCTGGGGAGCGCTGGGTCCCCGGCCCCCGGCCTGCTGGGGGGGTTTGTGCTGGGCTGCACAGTCATTTCCTCCCCTCTGTTTATTTGCATTACAATTTGTTTTTAGCCAAGCACCAAAAGCTGCACTGCTCCCCAGCTCGCTAGCTCTCCTTGCCTTGTGCGTATGTTTTTAAGGGGCTAGTGTACAGTATGTGTAAACAAATGTCTTCCAAAGCAGGAACGCATATATAACGAGTGACAGGTTTTTGATTTACACTCAGTAAAATCTCCGTGGACACTCGTTCAAGCACCCAGGCTGACTTCAGGCTGGGCTGCGTCAGCAAGTTGAAGCAAAGTGCTAATCAGGAGGTTGAATGTGTTGATCAGCTCTGGATTTGCTTAGCACCAGATGCTCCCAATCTGAGAAGATCTAGTTGAACATGATTTAAGGTTGCAGAGTCCAATTCTAAGACTTTCTGAAAGTCCTTTCTCTAATCCCTCTTCTTTCTCTGTGGGCTGAATGCATCTGTAACCCTGCCAGTGTCAGATAAAAGGCAGCCTGGTAAGAAATCCCTAATGGGGAGCTGGGGAAGGAGAAGGGAACTGAACAGCTAAGCATGTGAGGTACTTCTCCCTCCTCCCCCAGAGTTTCAGGCAGAGTTTCTGCATGAACTGAGCTTGCTGGTACCAGCCAGAGCCACTGGCAACTGGCAGCCACAGCTGATAATGAAACGCTATCCACAGCGCGGCTCTGGCACACACAGTGGAGTCTGAATTCCCTTCCCTCCGCAAGGAGGGCTTTGGGAAGGGAAGAGGGAAGCGGGGTGAATCCTTATCTGCCTATCGCATCCCCTGGGGGTGCGGAATCGGGCTTTGTTTCTAGCAAAACCATTCTCTTTATCGCTTAAAAACTTTCTCGGGGATTTGAGGCAGGCACATTCATGTGTTTTCTTTTAGCCTGTACAAGGAGAAGTGAGTTTGGTGATTTCATGCGAGTCTCGTAGGTAGCAGTGACATACCAGGCAGCACGGATGAAGGAGGAGACCAAACAGGCAGAGGGATGGAAGATGAGGGAATGCTTGCTCTGATTTCCTGTGTGGCTTTGGCTCCTTAAACTCCCGAAACTCACTGCCACCTCAGTTTCCCCATCTATAAATTGGGAATGCTGCTATTTGCCCAGTCTCGAAAAGCATTTTGAACTCGTGAGGTGTAAAATGCGAGATATCATAAGGCAGCTGCAAGCATGTCAGTGCAAAATGCAAACAGTTGGTACCTCCTCTGCAACAAAGTATGTGACAGGACCCATCCCACCTCTGCACGTTTAGGACAGTGCGGGATGCCGTCTGAAATGAAGCAAGAAGTTCCTTATTAAAAAGTATTGCTGCAGATAACCTATATATAGAACCATAAATTGACATGGTTCTTTATAAGCCTAGATGAAGGCATGTTTAATCTGCAGAGGCATAACGTAATTACTCGCACTGGATGGTGGCCAGGGTCTTATTCACATCACAGAAATCAACATGATAGGTAGTCTGCTTGGAGGAGGTTCAGGAATGGAGTCACAGGAGTTGCTACAGGGCCTGTTTGAGATATATTGGGAAAGTTGTTGGGGGTGAGGAATGTTATAGCAAGAAGTGCTGCAGGTTGGATTTGAGGTACCTTGGCAGAGCTGTGTGGGGTCCAGGACGGGAGGAGAGAGGTGCTGAAGGCTGGACTTGGGGCTATTGGCAGAGCTGTGCTGGAGAAGTTGTGTGGTGCTACCTACATCACACTTACACCTGGCACTCCTACAGTCAGTCCCTCGTTTTCCTGAGCACTGCATCCACCTCTGCTCATCCTGCCCAAAGTGCTGGAGATTGGGCTCCACATCCCAACTTTAAGCTCCAAGACGTTAGTATGAGGCCACAGGGTTAATTACCAGTTGTCGCTTAATGCCCTGAGCAAAGAACTAAGTGACTCAATCTGATGCTAAAGGTGAGAAGCAGCTCCTTGATCTCCTTATTTTTGCCTTCACGAAGGGTCTCTGAAAAGCGGTCATGAGGCTAACCCAACTCTGTTCCCCAGGCTGAGGAGACAGCGGGACTCATATGACTGTGGGGTCAGGGTTAGGGGGAAATTATCTTCCCAGAGTCCAAAACTCCTTATAGAGCAAGTTTTGATCGAACTTTTTTCTGGAACAATAGTTTGCATGGTGCAAAGGTAACGTCTTGAATTTTAAACCAAGAGAAGCATCGTGTTGGCCCGGCCAGTTTTGGGGTTTGCCAAGAATTTCTTCATGTAGCCAAAGGTGGCATGTTTGTTGTTTTGCAGCAGTCTTGCAAAATCCACTCCCCTGAAGGGAGGAGTTTTAGGTGGGTAAATAAAACACAACTCGCTATTTCCATCATCCCTGGCTATCCACCCCCTCTGCTGCGTAAGGTGTGGGAGACGACCCAGCCTCCTCCATCACCGTATCCCAGCGCCTCGCAGGCCTTGGTGCTTCATCCCAGGCTCCAGAGCTGGTTGTTGCTCCTGATGTGCAGGAGGAGAGATGGAGAGCCTGGGGGCACAGGTCAAACCACCGGAGCTCCACCTGAATAGGTGTCCAGCTCCCAAAGAGCAATTTAGATTCGCCACCTCCCCCCACGGTACCCTGAGGACACCCACTTTGAACACGCTGGGTTTGTGTCACACTCTGAGGCCACATGCTTGGAGGTTTTTAGGCACTGGGCTTTCAGTTGCGTGTTTTTATTATTTTGGCTTTAGATCCCTTATTTGCAGTCCTTCCCTGACAAGCTGCTTTTGCATTTTAAAGGGAAGGCTCTTTCAGTGCAGTGCATTAGCAGTGCTGGGGCAGGGGCTGGCACGTCAATGTGTCCACTGGGGCTGTGCAGGGCTCCTGGGAACAGGCAAAGGGGTGACCTTGTAGAAATTGCCCCTCCGACAAATTTGTTGCACAGGAGTCTGGGGTGGGCTGTCCACAGTGACCCTCGGAGAGGATAACTGTGCTCACAGACCTTGCTCACAGACACTTTTGGAGAGTCTCCATCCAGATTTTTTTAATCCAAGAGGGAGAAGTCAGGTTTAAATTAAAAAAAAAAGCTCTTTGTTGTAAGCTGCCAGGGTTGAGTTGGGATTGCTGAGAGGGTCTTGTGCTTTCTCAGTACTGGCCCCTTGATGCTCAGCAGCCCCTCTCTTCCCCAACCTCTGTGCAGTTTGAGGGCACACAGCACACTTTAGGACTGGGGTGGGTTATTGATCTTTAATTTTCTGTCAGATCTCCATGTTGGATGTCAATGGTTCTTTGCCTCGACCTAGGTATACACCTGTCAGCAGCAGCTGTGACTTCTGTCGGGCCTCTCTTGTTTAGTGGTGACACATACATGTGAAAACTCTCATTAGAGAACCCTCCTGATGTTTAGTCAGTTGTTTAGGCTTCTGCCATGTGTGTGGGATACTGTCGGAGGGACGCTGGAGTCCAAAGAAAGGCGGCGAATCCGTGTTCGAGTTCCCCAGAATCTGCTTTTCCTATTTCTTTTAAAGTTGCAGATTTGAAAAACGCAAGGTCTGAAGCAGTGCTGCAAAACTCAATTCCTCTTCTTTTCCTCCCTCTCTCTTTTCAGCCAAACATGTTAATGAAGTCATTGTGGGCACCGAACAGCTGATGGAGATATAACCCGAGTAGGTTTTTAAAGATGATTTTATGGAAGCCAGCAGCAGAACCAGATGTTCAAGCGTCGTAAGATCATCCGTACGGATCAGTACTGGCACGGTTTACCCTGTCATTGCTCCTTTCCTGTTCAGCTTTATATTTATGTCTTAATAAAGAAGTATTTACAGAGCGGTGTGTCGGCCGGCCCCCTCCCCCCCCCTCATTGGGATGCACGCGGGTTTGTGCCGGGTAATATCGGTTCCTGCGCGCCCGGCAAACGCACTGTACTTTTCCAGCAGAGGGGAGAGCGGGGACCACACAGGCTGTGCCCGCTCCGAAGAATGACTTAGCCGCCCTCCCTGCCATGTAAACCACGTCCCCGCGGTCCCGCGGCCACCGTCCCCCAGCCTGGGAGAAACCGCTCGGGATGCGGCTTGTGCATCTCATCAACGCAGCAGGCGGGCAGCGGAACACAGGGGTAGCGCCGGCTGCTCTTTGCAGCCCGGCAGCTTCGCCAGCCTCCTCCTCCTCCTCTCCCTCTCCCTCTCTCTCTCTCTTTCTCCTGATGCTGCCCCATAGCACAGAAGCGTTTAAGCTGCGCCTCTTCTGTAGCGCAGTCGGGGAGTTTGGCACCCGTTTGCATCAGGGCTGAGTTTGGTCCGTTACTTTGAAATCCTGCCCAAGAAGGAGTGTGCGAGAGGGCTGGATGGGGGAGTGCGGAGGGGAAGCGGGGCCTAAGCACTGGGTACTCTCTGCCCTGTTTTAATGCTGCTTTCTCTTGTCGTTCTGCTCTTCCTAATCCCGGACAAGAGGTCCCTCCCCACATCTGGATGATCTGTGGATGACTGTACCTACGTCTGCGAGATGAGTCGAGCATGCTAATGTGAAACGCACAGCCTTGTGGTCAGGGGTTGTGCCAGGATTGTAAAGCACCTGGATGGGATTGAAACACAAGCTGTTCTTTAACGTTTATAAATTGGACACGAGTTCCTGCCTAAAAGCTGTTTATTGGAATCTAGTAGGATTCAACAGGACATTTATCTGCCCCTGGCAGTTTGACATCCAGAGGTGCTTACAGTAACTGGCCGGGATGATATTTCATTAACTGAAGTGATAAATTTTAAATGTGTGCTTCATGGGCACCGGTGTCCCCGGAGGAAAATTACCATTTCCTAGCTAATTTGACAGGAGAGAGAGATTATAATCCAGACATTCCCCGAGTTTCATAAACAAAATCCCTCCTCTGAAGGACCGGGTTGGAATGGAAAGTTTGGGTGAGGATGAGCTTGGAGGCCTTTGAGGAGCTGCAGAAAGAAGTAACGCGCTGCCGTTCGGCTCCGGCTTCGTGCCTTGTGTATGTGCGCAAACATGTTCCTCAGGTAGGAAGCCTTTTTCATCCAAGGATCGTGGAGGCTTTACAAAGGTTAATTAAAGAGAGTTCTTGTCTCTGTGTGCGGCAAGGGAGCGGGGCATCCATTTTGGGTGTGTAGGAGCAGAAGCCGAGTGGAACGTAATTACCTGGCTTTGCATTTTACCAGAAGGCTATGGCAAAGCTGAGAGAGGTCTCGCAGGGATTTTGACTCCAGGTCCTTTTGCTTGAACACAAAGCCTTCCCCCTCTCTTTTTTTTTAGGATACATCTTAACTTCTGAAAAGTCTGCATCCCCTTATTTAGCAGCTACAGTCTTACCTCTTTGTGCCTTAATTATATGTTAAAGTCTCAGTCCTTTTGTTTAGCTAATTTAAGAAGAGGGTGGGGGGCTCTTTACTGTGTCGGTTAGAATTTAGCATTAATTTAGTGTTCTCTGACACTTGAAAACCTGGCCGGGATTTGAGGCGTTTTCTTTTCCTTTTTGCCTTTTACGACCTGCAGGTGTTTGGTGTGAGATAAAAGTAGATCCCAAAGTGAGATTTCACAGCACAAATTATCAAAGTGAAGATTCACTCTTGATGTAGTCTACGTGTGTGGCAGTAATTATGAAAAATAATTCGGGATAATAGGGCCTTCAGGAATCCCAAGGCAGGCACTGGGAGGTTAACCCTTCCCCATCTAACCTGGTCTCCACGCTGCTATCATCGACAGGTGAGCAGATGGTGGGTTGAGTCGGGCAACTTTACAAGCTGAGTGATAAACATTACGGTCTTGAAGAAAATCAGGGAGGGGACCAAGGAAATGAGGTTCTGTTCCCAGATAGTTTTGGATGTTTGGTCCTAGGTCATGCAGACCTTCAGGAAGGTGCTACTGGTACGGGCTGCTCACCAGCTTTGAGGAACTGCTCACCTCTTGGCAAGTAAGTCCCCTCACTTTGCTGCTCTGTCACACCCAGGCAGCTGAGGGTCACCCATCACGGTTCTATTAGCACCAAGGTGGTCCTTTATAGAAGACATTTCTCTGAAAAGATCATAGAATCATAGAATCATGAAGCTTCCCAGCTCTGCAAGCGCTGATGCTTCCTGGACAGGCTTTTCCTGAACGCTTCCTTGGCAGATGTACAGCTGGGGTTGATGTGAGAAGGTTCTTGCAGTGACATGTCACGTGCTGCATCTGCAGGCGGTAAAGCCAAGGCTGGTGAGGTCCCCAGCTGGCAGCACCTTCGGCTCCTGGGTTTCACTGAGCTCTCTCCTGCCAGTGAAAACTCCTAAAAGGCTCATTCTGTGGCCAGGGCGGCAGGTTGGTGGGTGCAGAGCCTGGTGGTGGTGTGTACTTCTACCCGTGGGTCCTGCACCCCTGGCACACCATGATCATGGCACCATCACTTATTGCTCTGCCTGTGGAGTAGGATAGAGCCTGGCCTCCAGCCAGTGCCTTGTGTGGTAATGAGGAACCCCGAGCCTTCAGGGGCCCCTGCAGCGAGGTCCTTCCCAGAATGTTTGCAGCCAAGCCCATTTGCCAGGGATTTGGGAAAAGCATTTGTTGGGCGGTTACAGATACCCAGAGCCGTGGCTCGCCTCCCTCAGCCGTTGGTGTTTGCTGTTGTCATCTTCCAGGAAGCAGCAGCTGATCTGATCCCTTGGAATCATAGAATTGTCTAGGTTGGAAGGGACCTTTCAGATCATCTAGTCCAACCATCAACCTAACACTGACAAAAACCATCGCTAAAACAGATCTCTAAGCACTATCCTTAGTAGTCCCTTCTGCAGTTGAACCAGAGTGGATGGCTCCCATCTTCTTGGCTGCCTTGAAGTGGAGCCACATGAGGTGGGGGCGAGCAGCTAGCCATTCCTGGGGACAGTGGGCTTCCTACTCTGGTGGCATTCAAAGGGACACAGAACCTTCTTTGCATCAGGCTTTGATCTCGCTTTTGAGACACTTTTTTGGCTTTTGGGCAGGAAGGGGAGAGGAATATCAGGCTGATGGCCTCAGGTCCAGAGGTCTGGCTCCCCCGTCAAGTTGATGCTGTGTGTGCAGCCCTAGCAGTAGGACTCTCTTGAACCTCTTGGAGCTGGGCATCATGAGGACTCGCCAGTCTTTTACTACCTCCAGTCTCCAAGGTTTGTTGAGCAGAACCCTGTTACTCCTGCTGGCTTCCTTGCTGGCTTCTTCCCCCAACTTTCCTTCCTCTGGCTGCTTGGAAAGAGTGGTTTTTACTCTGCCCTGCCCATCCTTTGGACTTTGCTGGTGGGACCTTCTCATCCTGGGAGACCAGAATTTTCCTTATAAACCCTTGCAGGTTTGGGGGACACCGGTGTGTTCAGGAGATGCCTTGCTGCCTCCATGCTGGCCCAAATCCATAGCCAGGGCCAGTGTCTGCTCTGGTGCTTGCCCTGGTGCCTTGCAAGGAGCAGGGTTAGATCGAGAGGGGTTGGATTGAGATTCCTCACAGAGGAATCACCAGTGACGGTGTGATGACCACACATTGCCCAGTGCATGGTACAGCCCACTCCCCGGGTACCGCCAGTCCCTGGGCACCGCAGTGGCCATCAGTGCCACCCTCCTGTCACACACGGCCATTCCTGTGGCCTTTGGTCACCTGTTGGTAAGGACTGGAGGCTGCAGGGGGCTGATTCCTGGATCCTGTCGTTTTTCACTCCATCTCCTGGGAGTGAAGGTCCACAGCCGTGCTTGTGCCTCCCAGACGGGCCGGCAGACGAGAACTTCCTTCCAGGCCCTATAGACAGACATTTTATATACGTTAAAATGCGTGTGTATATAAACATGGAAAGCAAGAGCTTGGGAGAGCTTGAGTCTAAATAAACTTGTATGTTTAAGGCTTTTAAAATGCTAATGTTGAATTTCAGGGGAGGGGGGACGCAAGGGGATTGTTGGACTGAGCACCAAGGCAGCTGATGAGCTTGGATCGGTGCCTTTACAATTCAAGGAAAAATGGGATAGTTTGGGAAGGAAAAAGGGATTTTCTTGTTTTTGTTTTTAGTAGAAAATAAAAGAAGCTGCCTTCTTATTTGCCTCCCTCCCCCAGCGCCGGAGCAGCGAGCGACTGGTGTTGTATGCATAAGCTATTCCTTTGTGCAACATCTAAATGGTTAATTGTGTTTGAGGAAGATGTACGGGCGAATGGAGGGACCACCCAGCAAGAGACAGACAAGAAAGAGCGATCTCTGAAATGTTTAACCAGAGAGAGAGCAAAGTTGTTTAAAAATATTTAATTTACAACATTCCACACTGCTGATTATAAATTGGCCGTCCAAAAACACTGCTGCGTGCGGGGAGGGATCCAGGCAGCATGAAACAAATTCTTGTGATTGTTTTTCCTATCTTCCTCCCTCCTTTCCTTGGGGAGTTTAACCCCACCGCGGGATGTGGGTCCCCCCAGGCAGGGGAGGCACGGCCACCATCCCCCTGGGACCACGGGCTGCCGTCCCCCCCTGCCAACACCTGCACCCGGGGCCGGGGCGCAGCCGCCTGTGGACACTGGGAGAGCTGGAAGGGACGGTGAGGAACGACCGACCGGCGACGCCGGCGGCGGTGATGGGCACATTTGAGATGGTTAAAAGTCCTGCAGCCCCTTCCCTCTGATTTTCACCCCAGTACCGGGATTCCCCCAAAGCATCTAGCTGGTGCCCCTGGGCAAGGAAAGCCGGGAATCCCCCAGCAATGGCTCAGGATACTTGGGGAGCCAAACCCAGCCAGACTGTGCTGCCTGTAAGATGGTGCCTGCTCTTCAGGTCGGTGGCTCTTGGCCACATTGCCCAGCCATTCCCAGTGGCTGTTGAGCAAGAGCAGCATCTCCCCCCGCTTGGGCCTTTCTGCAAAGAGGGTGGTTGGTGCCGGATGCCGGGAAGAAGGGATTTGGCCACGCTCTGCTCGCGGCCGCCGCAGATCCCCAGCTGGCTTCAACGCAGCCGGTGGCCCCGGCTCTGCTTCCCCCGCACGAAGGGCTGGGGCTGCTCTGTGAGGAGGGACAGTTCCCTCTGGGTGGTGGCCAGGCCATCTCCCCCATCACCTGGAGATGGTTCCTGCTCCCACTGCAAAGTCCTTTCCAACCTTCATAGTCCCCCATTCTCCTTGTGGTGAGAGGAGGCTCCTGGGGTTCTCACCATGCTGCCCCCAGGAGACTGGGCAAGCAAAGGATGCACGTGGTGAGGGTCAGCCCCTTCTTCCCCAACCAGCACCGACCCTGCCACTGTCCATCCTCACAGACATCACCCCAGGAGCAGAGAGCCACCATGCCTGGAGGGTGTCAGGGAAGGGGGCAGATGTGCATCCCCTCCAGCTGGTGACCCTGTGCTGCAGAGGGGATCTGAGCGGAGCTGAGGGATGCAGGGAATGCAAGAGGAACTGGAATCCAAAAGCGATGGTTGCTTTTGCTGCAAATCCCTCCTTGGCACCTCCTTGCAGATCCTGCTTTGCAGAGTAAAAACCCAGGTGCTCTCACACCCCCGCTGCCCCGAGATGCCGGCCATGCAGCCAGCCCCCCGGGGAGCCCTGGGGAGGGCAGGGGTCTTGCCTGCTCCTGCCGGCTCTCCTGGCAAGGAAGGGGCACAGGGAGGGCTGCGGGGCCCTTTGCTGGGGATCGCCACAACTTTCCTAACCCCTAATCAGCCGGGAAGCCTCGCCGGCCACCTGGGCGCTTCCTTGCCTGCAGCTCGGGCCTGTGACGGCCGGAGGAGCCGGGGTGGGTTTGGCTGCTTGCCCCGGTGGCGAGCTCGGCTCTCCGTGGCTGAACCGCTCCGGGCCCTGCCAGCCCCAGCCGGTGCCGGGAGCGAGAAGGGAGACAAAAGAGCTTGTGTCCTCCTGCCAGCAGCCGGCCCCGCCGAGCGGCCGCCCGCCCAATTAAACCGTGCCCGCTTCCCATGCGGCAGGGGCGCCCGGCGGGCTCGCCGCCCCCCTCCTGCAGCCCAACAGCCCCGGGGGACCCCCACCCCACGGGACCGTCCCTGCCTCCCCGCAGGAGCCAGCCCTCGCCGGGTGCCGATACGCTCCCTCCGTCCTGTGGCGAGGGCATCTCCAGCGGCTCGTGATGGGGGATGGCTCACCCCATTCCCAAACATCTCCTCTTCCCCCCGGCTTTCCTCACCCCCTGGGACTCAGGGCACCCACCAGCACGGGCAGTGGGGTGCTGAGCATCCCTCCCTGTGCCTGCTGCCCCTCCAAGGGCCAGGTCAGGATGAGACATGGCAGCAGCAGCAGCCACCGCCACGGTGGGAGCATCCCCACGCCCCGTCCCGACCCGCGGGGCCGGTGTCACATCCACTTAGCCAGCTCCAAAAATCCCTCGCCCTGACACCTTGTTAAATACCCACCAGGGGTCACAGTTCCTGGGTTTCTTTTTCCTGCTTTTCCTTTACCCCGCTGAGACGTTTCGGTTGGCAGGAGCTACCCCCACCACCACCCCCCCACCCCCCGCGATTAGGTATCTTTCGGGGAACAAGAAACCTAGATCACTTACAAATTAATTTGGAGTTAAACCTACAGAAAATGAGAAACATGCTGCTTTGCAGGAGAGAGCGCTTGGCCAGTGATCAAGAAAAATACATCCAAACCGCCCGATGCGGCGCGCTCGGCGGCGGCCGGGGAAGGGGGCTGCGAGCTCAAGGTAGCCATCCCTCAGATTTGGGCATGTTTTAATGGGGCCGCAGCCTTTCCTCCCAATTAAAACCGTAGCAAACAAACATAAAGGGAGGAGAACCTGTTCCCTGGGTGGGGGACACACACGCACGAGGGGATGTGGGGAAGGCTGGGGTGGGGATGGAAGAGGTGTGGGGTGTGATGTGGCAACACGGGTTGCACCTTCGCTGGTGGGGATGGGGACCAGCTGTGGGCACCCATCGCTGCATCCCCAGGGCTGCAGGACCTTGTGCCAGGGCTGGACCCTGAGGGGGGCCAACAAGGTGCCGTGGGGCCAGGAGTGATGCAGGGGACCCCAAGGTGGGTGGGTGGAGGTGGATGGGAGCTCCCGGAGGGTCTTGGGGAGGGGGCTGGCCGCTGCCACGCATTGTGTCTGCGGTGCGAGCGGCGGTGCCGGGAGGGGGCCGCGCAGGGGAGGCCGGGGCGGCGGAAGAGCAGTGATAAGATAAAAGGTCTGCTTTCCCATGCCGAGGAGCTGGGGCGG